TAATTACTTTACCATCAATGCTTTTCTTTTGGAAATAAATTTATGTATCCTAGGAATTTTACCAGCTTAACTCTTAATATAGTATATAATCGATTTTGCTCTATTTTTAATTACTTTACCATCAATGCTTTTCTTTTGGAAATAAATTTATGTATCCTAGGAATTTTATCAACCTAAAAACACAATTCTACTTATGTGATGAATTCAAAAAAGAATTAAATTGGATTTTAAGTAGTTAGTTAATTCAAAGACTTAATTATTTATTCTCAATATTAAGAAAAATATTTTTTGATGATTCAAATTCTTAATATTAGCTAATCTCAAGTTTTAAACATTTAATTGTAACTAAAATAATGTTTAAGTGTAACTATATTTTTAAAAGAAGAATCTTATGCTTAAAGGATAGAAGAAATTGATCTAATATTTCACGAAATTCTTTAGTTAATCTTAAAGTTCTAAATAATAGAAAGATAATTAAGGAAGTTGTTAATGTAAAATATATATTTAAAAGGTTAATCAACCAATTATTCATAATAATTAATTCTAAAATTTATACCCATTAAATATTTTCAACTGATATGCCATAATGGAGATTGCATCGAGTCAAAATGTAACCATATGCACACGTTTGGAAAATTTTAGTTGGGGTGGGACTAATAATTCTAAATAATATTTTTTTTACATAGTTTGAATAAGGAAAAATTTGATAATCAAAATTTTAATTAATTTCAAATTCCTAAATATTAGGAGAACACTTATTTTATAATTTTGTCCAATGTGAAATCTACTTTAAAAGGGTAAAAAAGGCGAACGACATTTCGCTAAGGGCCTTCGTACTTTTAATAGAGTACTAGTTTTTGGACACGTGCATATCAATCTGTACAAAATTTTGAAATTGTATAAGTAATAGTAAAAACCCGTGTACAGGGGCGGATGCACTCTTAGTGAAGCGGTATTACGCGACACCGCTTCGTCGAATTTTTTTACTAAATATATATATTAGTACTGTGAGAAACCGGATAAGTAGGAAAAAATGATACCACTTGACATAAATTGTCTCTTGGTGCATTTGTATATGCTTTATTTTGCTCTAATAGGTCAGAGTTTCAAACCTGAACTAGCACATTTTTTTGCAAATATTTGAAAGAGAATATTTTTTGTCTAGAAGTTTAATAATTGAAGTTATTGTTTTTGTACTTCTATAAATTTTGACACCGCTTATAAAAATTCTTGCGTACGCCCCTGCTTGTGTATGATAATTTCCTGAAATTTGAAGGAGAACAAAATACAAATCCAACCTAATGAATGACGAGCCTATTCAACTGATTTACATGTCAAATGAAAAATGAACACATTAAATAATTTATAAGTGACAACTTCAAAAATAAAAAAGCAGTGTAGGTGCAGCACGAATCCATGTGGAAGAATAATGGTAGCGTAATACTGGAATTGAAATTTCTGGTTACTGCCAAAGGGAAATACCAAAGATAGCAATATTTCCCACTAAAACCTTGTAAGGATTGTATTAGTATGTATAAAATGTCTTTTTAAAATACTGTGTCAATATAAAATGAAATGAAGGGAATTCCAAAAAATCTCACTCGTTTAAGAGGCAGTAAATTTCTACGTAGTATAAAACAACAAATGAATCCAACTTTCAAACATCACTGAACTAAAAAACCGTACTAAAACAGCTATAAAACAAGAAATAAAACAACTTTAATTAACCCCGGTCAATGAATATAATTATATGAAGGGACATGATGTACAACATGATCACCTTGTTGACGCCTTAAGAGAAACCACTACTGCTGAAATTGAGAAAAGGATCAATAGGAATTAGCAGGTTCGAGGGTAAATGTTCTTGCTAAATTTACAGGTTAAAATAGGTTTTGATCAATTGCATATGTATTTTGCAATTGTTATTGCTAAAAGATAAATTGAGGAATGAATGAAAGAGACACAAATAAATTAAGTAACCTCAAGCATAACGCACTGCGCAACCTTTGATCTTCGTCAAATTTATAATGAACTCCGTACGTTTATAATAATTATAAAACTCAATTAGCTTTTAGAGCGTGATACATATATAAAAATCTGATGAGATTAGCTTTGGAAAACGTAAAGCCTTCAATTAAATGCATGTACGTACATAGTAAATAAATTGAAAATTCTTATATATTATATTTACTTTAGATCTCCAGAGTCAAGACAAACTATATAGTTTATTTACACACATTAACGTTGAAACAATAATTTAGTTATTAAAGGGTAAAATAGTCTTTCAACTTTTAGTGGGTATTTTCGTAATTCAATCTTGACTTAAAAGTTTCACGCTTATAATATAATACTAATTTTAGTATATGTACGTTGCACGTGTTTACCACGTCAATCAATAAAAATTATATACCCAACACATGAAGTACATAAGTTAAAGAAATTACATAAATAGTTATAAAATAAATATCATAGAAAAAAGAGTAAATTCTTAAAAATGATCACTATTGATCTGATTTAGCTACGCTTAATAAAGATTTCAAAGGATGAGGAGAATTTATTTTATATTTGTTCTAGTATAAAGATATCTTCTTTTTAAAGTCAGTACATTCCGATTTCCTCAATAGTTTAACTAAAAGAATTAAGGAATTAGTAAAGAAAATTTTAACTGAATTCAAAGTTATAATGTTAAGATTTAATTTATCTTTAAGCATAATATTTTGTATCGAAAACTGCCGATGACCAAGGAGAAAGAAGGAAGATATCAAACATATTTAGAACGCAAGAATTGAATCAAACACGAAAAAAGAAATAAAAAACTCACCTAAATATTAACTGTTGGCTTTTGAAAACCAAGTAGGCTATCCTCCCTATAATAACCGATAAAGAATGCAATAGTTGTCCCATAATATGCGTACAAACAAACCCTACATTTTCTTAAAAGACAGAAACTCTATTACGTAATATGAAACGAAGAAACACACCCAAATGCTTAATCAATCATGTCAATACATATAAAAGTTTAAGAAAAATAGAGCTTATTTTGTATTTTAATTAGATATAATACTTGAGCGTCTCTTTTGAAGGAAGTATGCATCGTTTTTTAAGGATAGACAGATGGAGTATTCTGAGTTCATGAGAGTTTAGAAAGGGTATGGGAAGTAGAATTCACTTAGTATTAGAAGGTGAAAACTAAAAGTTAGAGTTTAATTCGGATATTAATGCTGTAAATTTATTCAGCTTATTATTAAAAGAACAAAATTGAAGAAAAAAACAACATCACGACTAAGACTGCCCACTAGAAACCAAAAAATCATGTTGTCTTTGATTTAAAATAGACATTTGAACGTTATTCTTGAGATTTTAGCCTATCACCTATAAAAAATAAAGTGACCTCGAAAATAAATATTCATCTTAATCATAATCAAGATAACAATTCAATTTTTGTCCGCCTAGAACTCTTTTTTTCTTCACTTCCAAGTCGGACACTTTTTCATTCTAGTTTATAGTTCTCCCTCAACCATAAATTTGGCTTCACTTGAAGTTGCAGCAAAGTTATTCAATATAACAAAATGTCTTCTTCTCATTTACTTATGCATAGTTATTCAATATCTCTATGCTGATGGGAGATAACAAATTCAATAAATAGTTGAGATGCGCGAACAAAACATATATATTAGATCGATCAATAAATTTTCTATAGAATCGATCACATGTATGACTTGAAGAAAATCATCAGTATTAACATGATAAAAATCTGGCGTTAATACTTCTCAAATAAATAAACAGCCTTAGAGCTAGACTTACCATAATAATTTGGACTAATTGAACTCAAACTTCCTTGTGAAAGCAAAAAGACGGGCTCGCTCCAATATTTTCTCCAAAAAAGAAAAACTCCATGAATTAATTACAAATATATTATTGAAGTACAAAATTATAAACTTGATCCATTGTTGAAATACATACAAAAATATGGAATAAGTTTGTACAAAGAATTATGGAAGGATATAAATAATTTCAAACTTGGTCCATTCTTGAAATACTGTAATCAATCTCTGCGACAGAATTTATGTGAAACCTCCTTGATTTGTTGGTGTAAGAAAATAAACAAAATTAAAGAATACACCTAAAACTGCAAGAAATTCAAAGTGTCGAAATAGAATTGATTGGTAAAATTTAATAGCAAACAAAGAGCCTCCTAAGCATAAACCTAAAATTTTATAACAAAAAAAAAAATTACTCCTAAACCTAAAAGGAATTCAAAGTTCACGAAATAGGTTGTTTAGTTAAAGTTCAATTACAAATTTGTTATATTATGTAGTTTAAATAAGGAAGAATTTGATACACAAAATATAAGTGATTTTAAAGGTCTAAATATTAGGAAAATATTTAAATAAAGTCCTAAATATTAGTAAAGTAGCTTAAATTATAATTTTGCTTAATGTGAAATATATTTTTAAAGGATAAAAAAAGCGAATAACATTTCGATAGGGGATTCGTGCTTTTAATATAGTATAGATGAATGATAAATTTGATTTAGCATGAAGCTAAACTAATAAGTAAAGACTTTTAAAATTTATTATTTTAAATATATCATAATATTAATATGGTTGTAAATTTCTTAAGACTTATAATGAAAATATATTGTAATATTTGTGTGCCTATAAAAATTTTTTATTAAAGAAAAAACTATATTATTATTTTTGAAATGTACTAATCAAGAAACAATAATGTCAAACAAAGTAAAACAAAGAGAGTAATAGAATCTATATGGTCAATTGCTCACTTCTATATCAAGAGATATGATGAAATAATAAGATTTCTATCTCGAATTTTGAATAGAAAAACTTTTGGTATAAATAAAAAAATTCAAATTACTCGAGTCAATAAATTAAAAATTTATATAATGGTTAAACCCAATAATATTCAATAAATAGTGAGTTCATTCCGTCTAAAATAAGCCTCTTCACCAACTACTTCCACTAACCTACGCCTTTATGCGTATTATTATTACAATTTTACACACCATGCTCGTGGGGCTCAAACTCACCGCTAATTTCGCCTCTATTTATGGCCAGAAGCCCTACACTTTCTTCCCCACCTTCACTTCCACCACAACCTCCACCTCCACCGCCGTAAATACAAATCATCAGGCGGTGCCGCCGACACTCATCTACCGTTGCCGGAGGATCGCAACTCCGGCGCCGGCGTATCCATTTCCGGCGAAAGTCTTAGGTTTTTCCTGTCTTAGCATGGGCTCTGCATTTCGGCCGTCGTCAGCTCCGTCAAAGTCTGCTAAGTTACTTACATTGCCTACAATTTTGACGATCGGCCGGGTTGCCGCAATCCCTATTCTCGTAACCAGTAAGTTCTGCTGAACGAAACAAAAAGTTATTTTTATTAACCCTAGCTAATGAGAGCGTGCAATGTGGTAAATTTAGTTGTGATATTTGAAATTGCAGTTTAATTGAAGTTGATTTTTTCTCCTTTACAGTGAGTTCTTGTGTTATTGAGCTTTGATTAGTAGAATTGATGCATTTAGATTGACTATTCAAGTAAGTACGTATACATCTTACGTTAAAGTTACTAAATTTGGCCCTAGGGGCTTTGGTCTAGCGGTAGTGGATTTTCACTAATCAGAGTCAAAATATAAGGAAGTAAATACACGAAAAAGCCAAGGGTATTCAACATATAGTATATATACATTAAGATTGATCTATCAACACAGTGTAATTTCCAGCTTCAGGGTGTCAATTGACTCCCCTTGGACAAGGGTAACTCCGTCCCTGTGACTAGCGGTCAGGCACGGTTAGGCACACATCAGGGCCTCTAACAAAAGCCTGTTTGAAGTGGAGAAGGATAGAGGGTCGGGGCCCATTATCCAGTTTTTAACCTTGCGCCATTGGCTCATTTGTCGATTATAAAAAAAGAGTTACTCAATTTGGTGATATGATTGATTTAGTAACTAATAGAATCTGGTCTTTAGTCTTATTGTATTTAGCTATGGAGAGGAGAGGCACTGATATCCTGCAAATATTCCGTGCGCTAAAAAAATCTAGTTATATCTTTGTGTAATATAATGGTTTAGGAAATTGAATAAGGAAAGAAGACTCTATTTTTCATTTCCCTTTTCTTTGTTGAACTGCTAACTTGCGGAACATGGTGCATACTGCTTAGAGACAAGAGACAAATGATACATCACGAGGGAAACTGTCCCAGACTCTTGATCCAAGCGTTGTATAAAACTTCCCAACATTTGAATAAAGAGAGTGAGAGTTTCAGACATCTGATCATTTAGCATAGTTGTCTTGTTATTAGTCTATTGTATGCTTTTATGTAATGTTTTCTAATGAGGGGCTCATTAGTTTGCTGATCTGTTTCATTACTTAATATAAGAAATTCCTGGATTTTAGTTTCAGTTATTTCCCTTTACACAGCTATTTTACAAATGATGCCATAGCATTCTGTGATTCTTTTTTGTGGGATAGCATAATTTGTTTTCAAATTGATACTCTGTAAAACAAAACTGATTTTGTAAAGCCTTTTCAATATAGCATTCTATGTTGATAGCTGGTGGGGACCAACCGCTACAACAGGTATATTTATTGCTGCAGCAATAACTGATTGGCTTGATGGATACCTTGCTCGCAAGGTACATGCTTGTGCTATTTAATATAATTGTCTCTTCTCGAATTATAAATACTTATATCTCAACTTACAAATTTGGATGGTTTGCCACGTCCAGATGAACTTAGGAACTGCCTTTGGTGCATTTTTAGATCCAGTGGCTGATAAGGTATTTTCTCTTTATTCTTTGGTCCTCATGCATATTGCCTGGAATTTTTACCAGTTTGCTAGCAAAGTTGTTTCGATTATCTATAATGTTTGAGTCACTTCAGCATAATTGCTTGTAATGAAGGTGCAAATGTTCCTGATACAGTTCTTCTTGACTGCAACAGCTAATGGTTGCTGCCACCTTGATCTTGTTGTGCACTAGACCTTTGGAGGCTAGTGTGTTTGGGCCATTGCCATGGTTACTAACTGTACCTTCAATTGCGATAATAGGCAGGGAGGTGAGTGATCAACTGTACTTTTGTTTATTGTTGTATTTCCTTGCACCTGGTATACTTTCACAAAGAAAACTTTAACTCTATGATATTAATACTCATGGGATCAGGAACATTGACATAGTTTGTTTATCTTATAGTAGATAACACCACAATGGAATTGTATTTTCCCTTTTTTACATGGTTTTAGTTGTTGCAATGCACCAGAGAAACATTTTGGATACTGAGTTTCTGGGAGAGTCTTTAAATGCTCCACAAGGTGTTACTAAGATTATATTTATGTTAAAAGTAAGGTACCCTGGCCTTTAGGGAAATTGAAGATGTTAGATGGCCATGAAAACAGTAAGGATCACATGAAGACTTTGATCCTTTTAGCATTCTATGCACCCTATCTGTGGCATCCGATTACGTCGCATGGAAGCATGTCTCATGGTGGTTGTTTTCCACTGCACATTTTAGTTTTTATTTATTTGTTGTTTCTGAGGATGTGGGGAGGCTGGGCGGAGTAGCAGGGGCCATCAGGATGCTCTGAAAGAATAGGAGGTATCTTAGAAAACAAGTTCAAGGCATATAGTGTAAATTTTGATTAGCAATTTCAGCATCTAGTATTGTATAAGTACAAGTTTGAAACCTGAATTCTTAGCTTCTGTAAAAAAAAGTATAGTAGTAACTACAAATCAGTGTTATAACTTATAAGGAAGGGAAAGGAAAATGTTGTCTATCATGAGGTAAATTGTATTAAGTAGTTAATATTACTTTTGAAACTTACTGAAGTAATAGCTTATTTTCAGTCGTACATTCGCCACATATAAGTTTTAGTTGTTCAAAAGATGATATCTTTGCTATAGTTTCCCACATAATTTGGGATCACAGTCCACTATTTTTCAAGAGTTCCATGAAGCTATGGCTCATATCCTTCCGCTGAAATGAAATTTTGGTTATAACTGTGTTTTCCTTTCCTATCTCATTTCTGTTAAGTAAAGTAGGAAATATCATATTCTTAAGTAATGCCGGTGGGTGGATAAATTTCTCTGAATTGCACTAGCGCTAATCAACTTAGATTGGAAAGAGGGGAGGACTTTGTGGAATTTTTTTTTTGGGGGGGGG